ATAGGAAAGAACTTTAGAAGAATTCAGGAAAACACTACAAGAAAAAACAGGCAAAATGAATGCAATTTTTGGAACAATACAAACCTGCAATTAGAAACTCAGAAGACTAATAATATTTCAGAAGTGGACAATACGTTGAGAGGCCAAAGGAGGAGTACATTCGAAGAAATGGAAATCTGAATGAATGAACTTGAATATAAATCTCTCAATACTAGTATGCTAGAACAATCAGGGGAAAAAAGAATGAAAACTCTAAAGAAAATCTAAGAGCAATGTGGGACAAAATGAAGAGAAATAACTTATGGGTGATCAGAATTCCAGAACAGAGAGAGACAAAAAAAAAAAGCAGAGAAAAGTGTGAAGAATTGTTGGAAGAAACCTTTCCTAACATCATGAAAGACAAGAAGGTAAGCACACAAGAAGCTGAACAAACCCAAGACAGGATAGATTCCAAAAGAAAATCATCAAGACATATCATAACCAAACTCTCCAAAACCAAAGACGAGTAAAGAATCCTGAGTGTAGCTCAGGAAAAATGAAAATTACCTACCTAGAAGAACCAATAAGACTAAGCTCTGATTTCCAAGAAGAAACCATGCAGGCAAGAAAGCAATGGGATGACATAAAAAACTGTGAAAGAAAAAAATTGCCAACCAAAAGTCATATATCCAGCAAAACTGTCCCTTAAATACAATAGTTAAGTTAGGACACTTCCAGATATTAAAGAAATTTGTAAAAACCAAAGCAACTTTACAAAAAAAGTATTATAATGTGTTCTTTGGATTAAGAATCAACAACAGCAGACAACAACGTGAGATTGACAACACCACCCAGCACTCAATCCAGGTATTTAAAGTAAAACAAACCTTGTTGTTGTCGTTAGGTGTCATCAACTTGATTCCGACTCATAGTGACCCTATGCAAAACAGAACAAAATACTACCAAGTCCTGTGTCAACCTCACAGTCATTGTTCTGCTTGCACGCATTACTCCCTCTTTTTTGCTGCTCACCCAATTTACCAAGCGTGATGTGTTTTTCCATGAACGGGACCCTCTTGATAACATGTCTGAAGTATGAGAGTTGAGGTCTAGCCATCTTGGCTTCTAAAGAGCATTCTGGTTGTACTTTTGCCAACACAGATTTGTTTGCTCTTTTGGCAGTCCAAGGTATTTTTAATATTCTTCTCCAACACAATAACTCAAATGAATCAGTTCTTCTACAATTTCCCTTATTCGTTCTTCAACCTTCACATGCATATAAAGTTATAGATAATACCATGGCTTGGGTCCGGCAAACCTTCATTCTCAAACTGACATCTTTGTTCAATACTTTAAAGAGGTCTTGTGCAGCAGATCTCCCTAATGCAATACATCATTTGATTTGTTGACTGAAGCTTCCATGAGCATTTAGGGTGAATCCAAGTAAAATGAACTCTTTGACAACTTCAATCTTTTCTCCATTTATCAAGATGTTATTTATTGATCCAGTAGTGAGGATTTTTGTTTTCTTTACATTGAGGTTCAACTTATACCAAAGGCTTTGTTCTTTGTCAGTAAGTATATTAAGTCTTCTTTGCTTTCAGCAAGCAAAATTGTACGATCTGCATGTCGCAGGTTGTTAAAGAATCTTCTTCCAGTCATGATGCCATGGTCTCCTTCATATGATCCAGCTTCTTGGGTTATTAGCTCAGCATACAGGTTGAATAAATCTGGTGAAACAATAAAATCCTGGCGCACTCCTTTCCTGATTTTAAACCATTCAGTGTCCCATTGTTATGTTCAAATGACTGCCTCTTGGTCTATGAACAGGTTCCGCATGAGCACAATTAAGTGTTCTGGAAAAATTATCCTCTGCAATGCCGTCCATAGGAACCCTATAGAGGGTTTTCTAGGAGTAACTGGTGGGTTTGAACTGCCAACCTTGTTGTTTGTAGTCCAGTGCTAATCCTACATTGCCACACCAAGGCATCAAAATAAAAGGAAAATCAGAAAGATTTAGCAAACAACCTAATAGAAATGAAAATGAAAATAGAACTCATAAACAAAATGAACTCAGCTCAGAAAATTATGTGCAACAAAGAAACCAGCAGCACACAAAAGAACACACAACAAAATGACAGCAATCAATTGTACCTTTTGATAATTATACTGAATGCAAATGGATTAAATGCACCAGTCAACAGTCAGATAGTAGAAGACTGGATGGAAACATCCCATTAACAGAAGATTGGTTAAACAAACTGTTATGGGAGAATGGAAAAACAAAGCTCCAGGAACTGATGAAATACAAATTGAAATGTTTCAACAAACTGATGCAGTGCTGGAAGTGCTCACTGGTCTATATCAAGAAATGTGAATGACAGCTACCTAGCCAACCAATGGAAGAGATCTACATATATTTGTGTCCATTGCAAAGAAAGGCGACCCAATGAAATAAGAATTTTTTAAAATTTTTATATAAATAACAAACATTTGGAATTCAGAAATTATCCAACAATATCATTAGCATCCCATGCAAGTAAAATTTCCTGAAGATAATTTTTTTAATGGTTGCAGCAGTACATAGACAGACAGCTACTAGAAATTCAAACCAGATTCAGAAGAGGATGTGGAACTACGGATATCATTGCTGATGTCAGATGGATCTTGCCTGAAAACACAGTACCAGAAAAATGTTTACTTATGCTTTATTGACTATGCAAAGACATTCAACTTGTGTGGATCATAATAAACTATGGATAACATTGCAAAAGATGGGTATTCCAGGACATTTCATTGTGTTCATGAGGAACCTGTAAATATACCAAGAGGCAGTTGTTAAAAAAGAACAAGGAGATACTGAAGAATTTTAAATCAGGAAAGGTATATGCCAAAATTGTATCCTTTCACCATATTTACTCATCTGTATACTGAGCAAATAATCTGAGAAGATGGATTATATGAAGAATAATATAGCATTAGGATTGGAGGAAGACTCATTCACAACCTGTGATATGCAGATGATACAACCTTGCTTGCTGAAAGTGAAGAGGACTTCAAATACTTACTGATGAAGATCAAAGACCACAGTCTTCAGTTTTGGTTGTACCTCATTGTAAAGAAAATAAAAATCCTTGCCATTGGGCCAATAAATAACTTGATAAACAGAGAAAAGATGAGAGTTTGTTAAAGACTTCATTTTGCTTGGATTCACAACATTCTGTCAAGGAATCAAAAGACATATTGCATTAGACAAATCTGTTGCAAAAAACTTCTTGAAAGTGTTAAAGATCAAAGATGTCAGTTTGAAGACTAACGTGTGCCTGACCTAAGCCATGGTATTGTCAATTGCTTTATAGGCATGTGAAAGTTGGAAAATGAATAATGAAGACTATAGATGAACTGATGCATTTGAATTATGATGTTGGTGAAAAATATTAAAAGTACTATGGACTGCCAAAGGAACAAACACATCTCTTTTGGAAGAAGTACAACCAGAATACTCCTTAGAATGAGGATGGCAAGACTTTGTCTCTCATTCTTTGGACATGTTCATACTTGGTAAAATGGAGGGTCAACGAAGTGGAGGAAGATGCCCAACAAGACAGACTGACACGATGGCAGCAACAATTGTCTCTAACATAACAATTGTGAGGATGGCATGTTGTTGTTGTTGTTAAGTGCCGTGGAGTCGGTTCCGACTCATAGCGACCCTACACAGGGTTTCCGAGGCTATAAATCTTTACGGGAGCAGACCGCCTCATCTTTCTCCCGCGGAACCACTGGTAGTTTCGAACTGCTGACCTTGCGGCTTACAGCCCGATTCGTAACCACTACGCTACCAGAGCTCCTTGTGTGAGGATGGCATAGGACTGGGCAATATTTTGTTCTTTTGTGCATAGGATCACTATAGGTCAGAACTGACTCAACAACACCTAACAACAATGACAATTACAAAGGTACCATGTACCATATTTACATTATTAGGCTATCCAATCCCCTTGATGTGCCACAAACACCACCCATTTACTGGTGTGGCACTGTAGGATAAGCAATGGACTGAAAAGTAGGTTTGAACCACCAGGTCGATAGTTCAAAAATCACAAGTTGTTCCTTCGAAGCCCTATACAGGTTCAATATGAATCAGAACCGGCTCAAAGGCACTTAACAACAACATCTTGTCAACACAACACCACCTGATCATTTGGTGGGGCTTACAAAGACTTTGGCTAGAAGGACCATATTAGGTCATTCACTGTACTGCAAACCCAACTGATTTTTTTGGGTTGTTTTCATATGAATTGGTTGAAAGTTTACAGAGCAGACCATCAACTTTACGTTCAACAAACCATACACTTTGTTTCTTTTCAATGATTGCAGTCCCCTCAGTGTAAAATCACTTATCTATGCCACATACTTCCTGTTTTTCTTGTTTCCATTCCTCCTTTTTCCCAATCCTTCAGAGCCTTTTCCTTTTTTTTTTTGACCATTCTATAATGTGCATATCTTATTAGTGTTATTGTTCCCACTACATACCTATCTATTGCGTGACTGAAAATTGAAGCATGGGGTGAGGTGAGTTCAGTTCTAGACCTGAAGAGTAGCCAAAGTCCACAGTCTCGGCTTCCACCAGTCTCTTTCTGACCAGAAAAGTGGTCATTTTTATGCTTTTGAGTTTTGTCAAAAAGAAGGGAGGTTGTTTTGTTTTTGTTCCACAAAAGAAATTTGAAGCTATCTTGGACTGGTAACAACTGCAGAGAGTCAGACTTGGCCTAAGGCAGCATTTTAGCAGGTGAAGTACTGAGCACATGACCCTCTGAGCCCAGCTGGAGTAGAGGTATGCTGCCACTCTAGACGGGCCACTGTCATGGGTCAGAGGTGAGTTTCCCAGGACATCTCACCCTGTCTTGTCTTCCCTTGGCCCGGTGGGGGATGGAGAGTGTCCCAGTAGGTCTCCCCATCCTAGTACCTTGAGTGTTTCTCTGTATCTGAGTTGGCACTTTCCCACGTCCTCTCCACAGGTTCTGGAGCCATCGTCGCTGCCATCGTAGTGGTTGTCATCATCATCTTCACCGTGGTTCTTATCCTGCTGAAGATGTACAACAGGTATGGGATGCCCTGGGCTTTGGGATGGTTTGGTCCCCTCAGCAAAGTCAGAATAAACAAGGACTAACATTTGTGAGTGCCAACAGTGTGCCCAGTAGTTTCCATGAGTCCATCATCAAATGCGCTAATCCTTTGGAGATCCTTTGTTGACCTCTGTTCTACTGGAAGAACTTCAGAATGACCAGATGTTTTTGTACCTAGAAAAATGCTTTAAAAATATAATAATGACTTTGAACACGATACTGAATGCTTGTATATAATTGAGACATAATATAGGGATGTTTCAGCTCTCTTCTCTGAAAGGCCCTCTTCTGGGTCCTGTCACATAAGTAGTCTAGGTGCCACATACTGGAAGGCGTATATTCCCTGACTCCACACTTGGGGACCAGATAAAGAAAAATACAATAATGTTATTTGACCACGTGAAGATGAATTAATTAATTTTTATGACTAGGCATCAAAAAGTTTGTGGAAAATTCCAGTACCTTTTAATTCCATTTTCCACAAACTTTTTGCAGCCCCTTCATATGTTATCACTTCCACTTTGCTAAAAGGTTACTATTTTGAGAGAACAAATCAAAATAATAAGACTATAATTACAACCACATCAAAGACAAGCAGCTGTTAAAAATACAGAGATATAATTGAAGTGCATTTACTGATGAGGAAAACTATTTACAATACATTGTCAAAATTGACAAAACTATGTACATTATAATCACATACATGGGTTACATATACCAATTGTTATTGTTGTTGTTAAGTGCCATTGAGTCTTTTCTGACTTGTAGTGACCCAGTATAGGATTTCCAATGAGTGGCTGGTGAGTTTGAATTACCGACCTTGCAGTTCAAACTGATTTTGCAGTCCAGTGCTTACCCCACAACACCACATTCATACCCAAGGAAAAATGAGAGATACACAGTGGAGGTGGGATTGTGAGCTGTTTTTTGTGGGAAGGAGGAATAGTGTCTGTCTTTGAGTACTAGTGTTGTGGATTGAATGGTGTCCCCCAAAAAATCTATGTTGTCATTCCTAACCTATGTACCTATGGTTATAATCCCATTTGGCAGTGGGTTGTCTTTGTTATATTAATGAGTCAGGATTAGTAGAGAGGAGTCCTGGTGTGGCGCTGTGGGTTAATGCAAGGCTGTGGACTGCGAGATTGGTTTGAACTAGAAAGTTGGTGGTTCAAGCTCACCAGCCACTCCTTAGAAACTCTATGGTGGTGGTGATGGTGGTATGCATGGAGTCAGTTCCAACTCATAGCGACCCTGTACAGGTATTCTGAGGCTGTAAAGCTTCACGGGAGCAGAAAGCCTCATCTTTCTCCTGTGGAACTGCTGGTAATTTCAAACTGCTGACTTTGAAGTTAGCAGCCCAACTCGTAACTACTACGCTACCAGACTGCTTGGAAACCCTATACAGGGTCACTATGAGATAGAACCAACTTGACGGCACTTAATAACAAGAACATGTCTTGAGTTCATCTCTTTTGCAATATACTCATAAGAGATTAAAAAGCAAGGAGAGATGAGAGAAGCTAGATGCTGAAGTACCTGGGACTCCCCAAGGAATCAGGAAGCACGCCAAAGAGACAAAGACTTTCCCCCAGAGCCAACAGAGAGAGAACCAGGACCCTGATTTTGGATTTCTAGACTCCTAAACTGTGAGAAAATAAATTTCTGTTTGTTAAAGCATCTCACGTGTGGTATTTCTGTTACAACAGTACAAAATATGTAAGACAAGTTAGTAACCATGCATTGCTTTTCTAATACTATTAGTACATGTAACTAACTTAGTGTTTTCTTACCATGTGCCAGACATGGTTCTATGCTGTTTACATGTATTAAATCATTTCATCCTCACAGCAACTCCACACAGTAGTTGCTATTATGATCCCCAATTTTATAGGTAGGGAAGCTAAGACGTAGAAGGACTGAATAACATGCCCGAGGTTACCCATAACCCATTGCTGTTGAGTCAGTTCAGTGTAGAACTGCCCCATAGGGTTTCCAAGGCAGTACTCTTTTTGGAAGCAGGCTGCCACCTTTTTCTCCAATGACACAGCTGCTAACCATTTGTCACCAGGACTCCTTGTACCCAAGGTTACTCAAGCCTGATTGGCAACCTTGGAATTCAAATCTAGCCTGTATAGTTTGAAAGTGAATATTCTCACCATTATATGTAATTATAATAATAACGTTGTTGTTGTTAGGTACCATTGAGTCAATTCGGACTCATAGCAACCCTATGCACAACAGAACGAAATACTGCCTGGTCCCGCGCCATCCTAACAATTGTTGTCACGTTAGAGCCATTGTTGCTAGCCTTGTGTTAATTCATCTTGTTGAGGTCTTCCTCTTTTTCACTGACCTACATTACCAAGCATGATGTCCTTCTGCAGGGACTGGTCCCTCCTGATAACAAGTCCAAATATGAGAGATGAAGTCTCATCATTCTGGCTTCCAAGGAGCATTCTGGCTACACTTCTGCCAACAGAGCTTTGTTGTTCTTCAAGAAGTTCATGGTATTTTTACTATTCTCCTCCAACACCAAAACTCAAATGCATCAATTCTTCTACGGTCTGCTTTATTCATTGCCCAACTTTCACATGTATATGAGGTTATTGAAAATACCATAACTTGAGTCAAGCACACCTTAGTCCTCAAACTGACATCTTTGCTCTTTAACACTTTAAAGAGGTCTTGTGTAGCAGATTTGTCTAATGCAATATGTCATTTGATTTCTTGACTGCTGTTTCCATGAATGTTGATAGTAGACCCAAGCAAAACGAAGTATTTAACAACTTCAATCTTTTCTCCATTTATCATGATGTTATTTATTGGTCGAGTGTTGAGGATTTTTGTTTTCTTTACATTGAGATACAACCCATATTGAAGGCTGTAGCCTTTGATCTTCATCAGTAAGTATTTTAAGTCCTGTTCACTTTCAGCAAGCGAAGGTGTATCATCTGCATATCACAGGTTATGAATGAGTCTTCCTCCAATCCTAATGCTACATTATTCTTCATAGAATCCAGCTTCTCAGATTATTTACTCAGTTTACAGATTGAATAAGTATGGTGAAAGAAAACAACACTGGCACACACCTTTCCTGATTTTAAACCATTCAGTGTCCCCTTGTTTGTTCAAATGACTGCCTCTTGGTCTATGTGCATATTTACTCTCATTCCCCCTCCGTCTTTGCTGGAACTCTGAGCCTCTTCTCGCATCACCCTGTTTTCACTGATGTCAGGGCTAGGAATGAAAAGACCTGGCTTCAGTCTTTGCAATATCACAAGCAGCCAAATCAATTAGTCTCTCTGGGACTGATCTTTTCATCTTTAACACAGAAACGTCTCAGAGTGTGATATTTGCACTATGGTTACATTGAAGACTGTCTTTTTTTCTTAAGGCTATTTAGAGATGAAGTGATATGATGACTACAACTAACTCACCAATGGTTTGCAATTTGAAAAAAAAAAAACATTGTGCATGTATGTATGTGTGTGTGTGTGTGTGTGTTTAAACAGGGAGAGGGAGAGATAAGGAGAGCAAATAAGGCAAAATATTACCATTTGGTGAATCTAGGTGAAGGGTATTCAGGTGTTCATTGTGCTACTCATGCAACTTTTGTGAAGATTGGAAATGTTATAAAAAGATTTATGATGTGCCAACAAGGTGAGATATATAATAGATATTAGAATTAAATTTTGTTCTTTGTCACTTAATTTTGTGGTACATGAAATGAAAAGTGAGATGTACATTTTACATGCATTCTCTTCTTCACCATGTAAAATGTTCTTAGAATTGTCTAACAAATTTTAGCCATGTAATGGGTCTGTACGTTTATTTCACATTATAACTTTGGACAGAAAAAATGTAAGTATCTTCATTTTGTCTGTAATCCAGTCACCTCTCTGGCACCTGATTCATTAGTTAATAGAATAATGTTAAATATCCAACCTAGGTTAAACACAACATTGAAGCATCACATTAGCTGATGGCTAAGGTCCTTTCTGGTAGCGTAGTGGTTACGAATCGGGCTGCGAACCTTAAGGTCAGCAGTTCGAAACTACCAGGCGCTCCACGGGAGAAAGATGAGGCTTTCTACTCCCGTAAGGATTTACACCCTCGGAAACCCTGTACAGGGTCGCTATGGGTCGGAACCGACTCGACGGCACTTAACAACAACAACAACAAGGTCCTTTCCAGTTGTGAAATTCTGTCATCATTGGTGATGGCTGTTGTTAAATGCCGTTGAGTCGCTTCTGACTAATAGCGACCCTGGATAGGATTTCCGAGGAGTGACTCATGAGCTTGAACCGCTGACATTGTGGTTCACACAGACCTTGCAGTTCAGTGCATTTACTTGCAGCACCACACCAGGATTGGCAATTAAGCAATGTAATATAGTAATGATGCATATTAATCTCTTCATCAGAACCATAATCCCAGAGTCCATTCTCCACAGCATATGAGGGCTAAGATTCAACCTATTGTATGTATCTCTTTACAGGAGAATGAGGACCAGGAGGGAGCTGGAACCCAAGGGCCCCAAGCCAGCTTCCCCTTCGGCCCTGGGCCCGAGCAGCAACAACAGTCAACAGCCTACAACTGTGACCTTCACCCCTGTTGACGTCCACATGGAGAACCGGTGACCCCCACCTTGCGCTCTCACAGCCATCATTCAAAGAGCCTTCTCCAGAGTCAAGACCAAGAAGCCCATTTCTCCTCTGGCAGCTTCACTATGAGCTCTTCCAGTCAGGTTGACAGAAGAATCTTTCATGCAATTCCTGATGCTTCATGCAATCCCAACCCCATCCTGGTCTGCCCCCCTAACTTTGCCCATGTACCTGTTTCCACCCTACCAAAAAGCTGTAGGACCTTCTGTTGTCATCTGATGAGGTAGAGCTATGTTGGGAATCCATTGGTGTGGGTTTGGCTCTCTCTTCCTCCAAACACTATTACTAGACAGACTGAGTCCTTCTGATCAAAAGTCAGCTGTCAAGGCATGCTTCTGAAATCTCACAGCAGGGTCCACCACTAGGGTCATCTCAGAGGCGATGCCAAATTCACAGCTCTGTGGAACAACACATTCAATCCCATCATCAGGCACAGGGGAACTAACTTGGACCAATCAGAAAACCACCTTTTCCCAGTACTAGATGACCATTAGCTAGTTCCTGACTATTGGCCAGAATGTTTCCCTCTTTAAAAAAGTTGCAAGAAAGCCTGAATTCTTCTCAAGAGGTTTCTGTTTCATTAGCAAAGAATCAGAATGGAAGGAATCATGACCTTGAGGAATAATAGCCTTTAGGTTGAGCTGGCTACAGTGTCCATGGGCCTGGGGCCGCCTTGCTGGCTGGCCAGGGCTGTCAGCAAACCTGACCCAGTCTCATTTCTTGGTTACAAGTATTTAATTCCAAGCAACCCTGACACTGTGAACACCTTTCCTCCATAGACCAGTATTTGGAGATGGATTAGATTACAACTTTGTTGGTTAACTTGTCCTTCCAGGTCACCTTGCAGAGATTCAAGGAATATTGAAAGTATCAGACAATATTCACAAACCATTTTTCTGTATAGAGCTGATTTCTTTGATTCTTGTAACCGAGAGCATTTAATCTATTTACATTCAGTGTAATTATTGATAGGTATTTCCCTACTTAGAGGGAAAAACATTTGGAAATAGGAAGACCTGTCTTCTAAGCCCCTCTTCTATCTGTGTGACCCTGGGAAAATGATCAACCTTTCCCTCCTCAGTTTCCTAATCCATGAAGTGGGAATGATAACGCCTGCTTCACTCAGTTATAACAAAGTCTTAGTAAAACACCTTACATAGTGCTTAGCCCCTGTGGTTGCTATCCGCTATTGAGTTAATTTCTACTCATATTGGCCCTATAGGATTCTCCAGGCTGTAATCTTTACAGGAAGGTCCCTGGTGGAGCAGTGGCTAAGTGCTTAACCCCTAACCAAACCCACCAGCCAGAGAAAGGTGTGACTGTCTGCTTCCATAGAGACCACAGCCCTGGAAACCATAGGGACAGTTCTGCCCTGTCCTGTAGAGTCACTGTGAGTCCGAATTCACTGGATTACACCCAACAACAATCTCTACAGAAACAGATGGTCAGGTCTTTTCTCCTGAGGAGTGGCTGGTGGGTTTGAACCATCCACCTTTCAGTTAGAATCGAGAGCACTTAACCATTGCGTTGCCAGGGCTCCTTTGCTATATGCACACTAAAGGGCAGCCGGCAGTATCCTGAAGTCAGAATGTGTCTTACAATTGATGGGTGGTCCGTTAATGACATTTTAAAATCAATTGTGCATCTTACAATTGATGGCATCTTAGAAACAAGGTAGTAAATCCTTATTCTGTTTCAGAAAGTGACATGTTCTCTGCCTTTTAACCTCAGATTCTGGGCATCTCTCCCTTTTGGGATTGGAAATCCCTTTTGAGGGGAAATTGAGGCTCAGGAAGGAAAGGGGACTTAGCCAGGGTCACACAGCTCATGTCACCCCACTATAAAAATATTTAACTATTCTAGAAAAATATTGGCAAATTCTTCCTCCCCAATCACCTCTTCTTACTATGTTTAATTATCCATCAAGTGTCAATCACTTTGCAAGGTGCTTTTTTTCACCGGAATGATCTCATAGGATTTCATTTTCCCAATAGCCATGGGAAATGGCCCTTTTGCAAATACGAAATTGGGACTCAAGCAGAAAGGCGCTTGCCCAAAGTCCCACAGCTAGTGAGTTGCAAAGTCGTGACTCAAAATCAGAACACTCTGCCTCCAAAGGTCAACTTTTTGTTACATTTTGCTGTCAGCCTGGCAGACAAGCAGGATTCTTTTGTGGGCTGAGCCAGAGGAGGGCAGGCTTGTCACAGTGTCTGAGGGCAGGTTAGGTGCCTACTTGCAGGCTGAAAGTGAGAGCAAAGCCACTTTGCTGGTCTCCTTTGCACTTCCACGATTGCAGCCAAGAGAGTTTTTTCTAAATTCTTGAAGGATTCTTGCCTGCTTCAATCACCCTACCACTTAGGCCCAAGAAGCAAAAGTAGGAACAACATCTATCTAAACAGACGTGCTCCCCTAAGTATATTCTGCTTAAAGAAAAAAATCATTGCTTAGAAAGTTCTACCCCAAAACCCAAATTCTTCTGCCCACAGTAGAATCTTCCTTGGTTATCCTTTAATAGAATGTTCTTCAAGTAAATGAAGGGTTGAAATTAGAGGAAAAAACGGGGAAGTGGAGTATCAAAGTGGAGACAGAGTAAAAGGTTTAGTGCCTTGTTTTTAACTAATGAAGATAAACTCAATAAACATCTTTTCAGGGCTCCTATGTGCAAATTGAGGTGCTACTAAACACATTAAATAAGACATGGTCCCTGCCCCCAAGCAGTCTGCAGCTGGTCTCGTGTGGCAGGGATCTTACAACGCAGTTATGTATTTTGTTTCTGATAACGTGCCTTTCTTACCTGAGCAGAAGCTGCCTTATTTGGCCACTGAATCAATAAAAGATATTAAACGCTTAAGGAAAAATGTTTTTAAAATAAAAATGTTTCAATCACACATTTGTGGAGTTGATTTCAATTAAGATTAGAGCTAATCTTTTCTTTCTTTCTTCTTTTAACTTTTTATTGTAAGTTGAGTGAAGGTTTTCATTGCAGATCATCAGTTTTACATTCAACAAACCATACACTCTGCTTCATTACATGGCTGCAATCGCCTCCACATACTAACAGTTAACAGCATTAGCATTTACCTCTAGTCACTTTAACTGTTGCCTTCCTCCCTGTGTTTCCTGGTGTCTTCATCTTTCCTCTGCTAACCTCCCTCTTGTTGTATATTGCCTGTCTTGTCACCATGTTACACGGGTCTACCCTCTAGACGGTGAATAATTTTTCCTTCCCATACCTCTCCATGTAACCATCATAGATTTTTTTCTTTAACAAGAAAACTTTCTACAATGTTTGTCTTTTTGTGATTGACTAATTTCACTCAGCGTAATGTCCTCCAAGTTCAACCATGTTGTGAGGTGTTTCACAGATTCAGCATTATTCTGCAACGTTTTCTAGTATTCCATTGTGTGTATATACCAATTTCTTTAACTATTCTTCTACTGATGGGTATTTCGACTGTCTCCATCTTTTTGATATGTCTCTTGCAGACAGTATAATGAAGGATCCTGTTTTCTTATCCATTTTGCTTTTTATGTCTCTTAACTGGAACATTTAATCCATTTACATTCAGTGTAACTATCAATAGGTATGAATTGATTGTTGCTGTTTTTCTGTATGTGTTTTTTGTGGTGCTGTTGGAGTCTTTGTTCCACATAATTTTCTATGTTGAGTTCATTTTATTTTTGGGTTTTATTGTTATTTTCATTTCTGTTGTGCTAAAGTTACTAAATCTTTTTTATTTTCCTCTTATTTTAATGGGCAGGTGTGTTTTCTTTGAGGTTACCCTGTAATTGATTCATTTTTTTCCTGCTTAAAACAGTCTGTTTTATCTTGAAATCTACTTGACTTCCTCACCATTTGGAAGTTCTGTTCTACACTACTCCCTCTTTTTGCTTTGTAGTTGAATTCATTATACATTGTTATCTCTGGTTCCCTATGTTCAGTCTTGTAGGTGTGTTTTATTTTAAATCCTTATATATCTGGATTGATTTCTGGGTGGTGTTTGTAAAGTTGGTCTGGTCATTATAAATTCCTTTAATTTCTGTTTTTCAGGAGCTATCCTAATTTCATCGTCATATTTGAGGGACAGCTTTGTTGGGTATATGATTCTTGGTTGGCAATCTTTTTCTTTCAGAGTTTTGGATATGTCATCCATTGCCTTCTTGCCTGCCTGGTTTCTGCTGAGAAATTAGAGCTTTGTCTTATTGATTCTCCTTTGTAGGGAGCTTTTTGTTTTTCCCAAAGTTTTCTCAGGATTCTTTCCATGTCTTCGATTTTGGAAACTTTGATTATGATATTCTTGGTGATTTTCTGTTGGGATCTATCCTGTTTTGGGTTTGCTTAGCTCCTTATATGCTTATCTTCTCATCTTCCATGATATTAGGTAAGTTTTCTTCCAACAACTCTTCAACAATTTTCTCTGTGCTTGTCTCTTCCATTCTGGAATTCCAATCACCCATAAGTTATTCCTCTTCATGGTGTCCCACATGACTCTTAGGCTTTCTCTGGATTTTTTTTTTTCTGCTTGTTTTTCGGCTTAGTCTGACATCTTGCTGAAAGTCCCACGCTAACCTTTTTCATAAACTTCCTTTCCCTACTGGAAAGGCTGAGCCCTTTTGAGCATTACATTATCACTTCTAAAGACTAATCTAAAAAAAAAAAAAAAAAGGTGGGCTGCCATCAACAGGCTTTACTATGAGTTAGAAAACTTGGTGACTTGCTCTAATAAAAGGAATTCCATTTCACAGTCTACAGTTTAATGATCAAGGTGCTGAGATGTCAAAGTTTAGGGAACTCAGGAGTGTAGAAGGTGTTAGAATGAAACCCAAAGCATGTATAATGGCAACTATCATAAACTAAGCTCCTCCCTGGTGTTATACTGTAGGAAAAGCACTTGATTACAAACCACATGGTCAACAGTTCAAACCTACCAGCTGCCTCTTGGAAACCCTGTACAAGGTCACTATAAGTCAGAACCAACTCAACGGCACTTGAC